CTGCTGCTGCTGCTGCTATTACTGCTACTCCTCCTCCTGCAGCCACTGCTGCTGCTACGACTACGACTACGAATCCGAAGACTACGCATCGCCGTCTACTACAGGCATGAACCTTTGCTTCTTGGCGATGCAGTGTTTGCCATGATCTACCTACATATACATATTTCTGCTCGCTGCTACATCCTGCGGTTACGGCTTTCTGGTTGCTCTCTGTACTGCTTGCGGTGTTGCATCTGCTGCACACGGCCTGCAGTTACGAGAGACGTTTCTTCCTGTCCTATGTTCTTCCTACCATCTGCGGTGCCATCTAGATTGTGCCTCCTTGTTGATTTCAGTCTTGTCTCGGCAACTTCCGAACTCTACGGAATACAGCTGCTTGGAAGCTCTGCCCCACCCCAAGTCAGTCTGAACAGCTGCACGAAGTCGTAAGAAGTTCATCAAGCCCCTGCATCCATGTAAGGCTTTGGGGTGTGGCATTGCAAAACAACTGAAATTCTAACCCGAAACCCCAAACTCTAATTCCTCAAAGCACAACGGCTCTAAATACTGGTGGGGAAGAGGTGCCCCACGGATCACGCGCACGCGCACGGTGACCGTCATCTTGTCCAAGTTTCATCCTGGTCACTTGGCCATCGCATGCCTGGATAGAGTCCAGAGCCCCATACGCTTCAGGATTTTCGGTGCTATTCAAGCAAAAACGGCGTTTGGGCTTGGGATGTCTATGCGGTATCACGGCTGAGGGTTTTACCGTTCGGGGTTGTACGCTTTCGGGTTCAAGGGTTCAGGCTTCAAGTTGAGGTTTCCGGTTTAGGGTTTAGGGTTTAGGGTTTAGGGTTTAGGGTTTAGGGTTTAGGGTTTAGGGTTTAGGGTTTAGGGTTTAGGGTTTAGGGTTTTCCGGACTACGAAGGGAACAAAACGCCGCTCCCAAACACAGCCACAGACGCCAAGATGTGCAGGCTCCACATCTTCGAGTTGCTCCTTAGTTGCTTCATGGCCATTTGATTGTCCCCAAATTTAGCGCTTTTAGGGTGTAGGGTTTAGGGTTTAGGGTTTAGGGTTTAGGGTTCAGGGTGCTGGAAACCCAAGGCTTGGCACTAAATAATCGAAAACCCGAGCATAGGCCCTGGACCCTGAAGCGGAACCTCAGAGCCCACCAAACCCCTGAACCCCAAAGCCCTAGACACCAACCCTCGAAATCCCATCCTAGAGGGGTCCGAATAATTACCTAGATCTCCTTATTCTAATGATGAGAGAACTCTTATGGCAACCTTTCGAAGGAACCTGATGCAAATTTCTACTTGTCAGTCACAGCTCGGCGTTGCCATGCAACAGGCCCAGCGCATCCAGCGAACGATCGGCTTGTGCAACCTTTGTCAGTCTGAGGGCACGTTGAGTTTGGGGTTTAGGGTTTAGGGTTTAGGGTTTAGGCTTTAGGGCTTATGGTCTATAGGGCTTATAAGGCTTACAGGGGTGAGGGTTGAAGGTTAACGGATCTGGCTTTCGGGGTTTTGCGCCTGATGGCCGCTGATGAACAGATTCCCTTCCGCTAAGGGCCCCAAGTCCAAGGACCCCTACTAAACACTAAACCCTCAACTCGAAACCCTAAACACTAAACCCTACACCCTATACTAAACCCTAAACCCAAAACCCTAAACACTAAACCCTACAGCCGAAGCCCTAAACGCGAAACCCTAGACCCTACTACCCCGAAACCCTAGACCCGAAACCCTAAACCGAGCGGGTCATTAAGCTGGGGTCTACAGCAGACTTTAATCTTAGGGATTCGGTGTTTCGGGTTCGGGTAATATCGAGACTTGTCATCATAGAAGAGGTTTTGGGATATAAGATAGGGGACTTAGTATTTACCTATACTATTTGGGGGGGGGTTCCTGATTAAAATTGTAGTATAAGATACCCCAAAACCCTGTTCTAATTATTAAGGCCCCTATATTCTTTTAAGACAATCCTTACGAGGAACCCGAAGGAAAAGCAATGACAAGATCACTCAGGCCCCCATATTCTACGTGCAAAACCTGCTCAAGACACCCCTTGCTTGTTTAGGGTTTAGGGTTTAGGGTTTAGGGTTAATGATGTCCCTGTGTCAGACCGTTTCATAAGGTCTTCGTGAAGACACGGGCCTGAGCAACAAGTAATAGTATCCTGTTATAGTCGCAAAGTAACTAGACTACAGTGTAAACCCCCCAACCCTACAAGAATGATTAAGGCCCTGAGACTAAACACCATAGAACCCTTTAAACAAAATTGTTTACCGAACCCTTACCTATAGAAGCCTGAATGGAAGCCAGCAGGTGTTTAGATTCCAAGGGGCAGCTTGGGGCGCCTTCTTCTTCCCTAAACCCTAAACCCTAAACCCCCCCCCCCCTAAATTCGGGCGCATCCTTCGCCCTAAACCCTAAAGCCCCAAACTCCAAACCCTAAACCCTAAACCCTTAACCCTCAACCCTAAAACCCTAAATTCGGGCGCCTCCTTCGCCCTAAATCCTAAACCCTTAAACCCCCAAACCCTAGGAACCCCAAAACCCTAAACCTAAAACCCTAAACCCTAAAACCCTAAACCCTAAAACCCTAAATTCGGGCGCCTCCTTCGCCCTAAACCCTAAACCCTAAACTCCCAAACCCTAAACCCCAAAACCCCAAAGCCCTAAACCCTGAGCCTGCTTCGCGGTTCCTGGGCCTTGGTCACAATTCCACATCCCATCTGGCTACACACGGACCTGCCTCGGTGCATGGGGGGCTTTGGTCTGCTGGACTTGAGGGTTACTAGAGTTAATAAAGGGATCTACAAGGGTTCTGTTTCGGTTCTACAATTAGTTTTACAACTTTCCGGTTCAGGGTCTTATTAGGACGTTATGGTCGCAATCACACATCTGGTCGATTTCGGAGAACAACTTTGTCGGAAATGTGCCGAGTCGCTCGCGTCCCACATGGCCTTGCGGGCAGCGTCGAATGCCTTGCGAACGGCTTTCCTGTCCTTTCTTCGCCAATAAGCCAGGGAACTAAAAGGTTAAACTTTCAGACTACTACTCAATTATAAGAACCAAAAAAAGCTTAAAGGCTGGCTGTTGGAGAACTCAGTGTCTTGCTTGATCTCTTCTTGCACTGTGCGGTCGTCGAGCGTGATTCTAACCTGAACCAGTAGGGACCCCAGCCACAACCTGAGTTCTTCTTTGGAACCCCAAGGATCCGGTCCATAGGACCTGATAATGAGGTACTGGGGCTTAGGATTGTAGTTATGGTTTAGGGTTTAGGGTTTAGGGTTTAGGGTTTAAGGGGTCCATACGAAGGATCCTGAAAGGTAAACCCAAAAAGGAGCTAGAATGGAGACTACAGGTAGGACCTGATAATGAAGTAATTACTGGCGTTTAGGATTGTAGTTTATGTAGCATAAAACTTGGAGGAGTATATGGTTATTTGGCACCTGGACCCTTAGGGGAAGCCCACAAAACATCGAGCATCCGCTCTTTGCTCCGTCAGATACTATGCCAAATGGGGCTTTCCGAAAATATGGGACCCTAATCTAGTACCCTAAATAGTAGGATCCTTGCTATAAGGACCCCAAATAAGGTACCCCCATATTTTCGGAAACTCCCAAATTGAAAATGACTTTCAAGAACGGCCGAGTAACCCCGTCTTCTTTGGATTCATTTCCAGGGGTTGCATGACGATGCCAAGGTAGATGATCATGAGGAGGCTCACCAGCAAAAAAACGCAAAAGCAACCTGCCAGGTGGCATTCCTGAGTGTAGACATCGAGTTTTCAGCTCCGCTGTGGCATGTGCATCTGGTGGCGGGGTCAGAAATTTACTGTTGCCTCCGGCACAAAATCCTGCAGTGAACATGCCACAATTGGATGCTGAAAGCAATGCAGGATTATCAGAGCCGCCGAGGTTCCGGGTCCTGGTATCTGCACCTTGCTTCCGCAGGGACCTGGCAGAAAAACAAGTTCAATGTAGACTCTAAACCCAAAAGCCCTAAAACTCCTTAAGCCCAAAACCCTAAAACTCCCTAAACCCAAAAACCCTAAAACTCCATAAACCCAAAACCCTAAAACTCCCTAAACCCAAAAACCCAAAAACCCAAAAACCCTAAAAGTCCCTAAACCCAAAACCCTAAAACTCCCTAAACCCAAAAACCCAAAAACCCTAAAACTCCATAAGCCCAAAACCCTAAAACTCCCTAAACCCAAAAACCCAAAAACCCCAAAACTCCATAAGCCCAAAACCCTAAAACTCCCTAAACCCAAAAACCCAAAAACCCTAAAAGTCCCTAAGCCCAAAACCCTAAAACTCCCTAAACCCAAAAACCCAAAGACTCGAAGCCCTGCTGCAGCTGGAACTTGGTGGCCCGGAGCTGTACAGCAAGACGGTTTAGAGTTTAGGGTTTAGGGTTTAGGGTTTAGGGTTTAGGGTTTAGGGTTTAGGGTTTAGGTTTTAGGGCTTGAAGCTTGGCCTATCCAAGAATTCAACACGGACATGGTACTTAAAGGATCATGGGACTTAGTAAGTAGGCTCATAATTAGGGTAACTATACTTATAACCCCAATTAAGGGACTTATAACCTTACTTATTAAGTCTCATGATCCTCCAGGTAGGTTGGAAGCCCATGGTTCGCCTGCTTTTGGGTTTAGGGTTTAGGGTTTAGGGTTGAGGGTTACTAGGAGGGCTCTTGTGGTTCTTGTGTCTGCTACTGATATTGATAGTACTACGTTATTATCACTACCAACATCGGTATAACTTGTGGTGCTCTTGTTGTTGTGATCATTTGAAGTCCCTAAACCCTAAACATCACTAAACTAGGTAAATAAAGATACTTTTTTGCTACAAAAGCCCAAAAAAAGTGCAAAAGGGTACGACTCAGGAACCAAGTAAACCCTAAACCCTAAACCCTAAACCTTAAACTCTAAACCCTAAGCCCTAAACCCTAAGCCCTAAACCCTAAGCCCTAAAAATCCCTGCAAGTCGGACCCTCTGCTCGCTCCCGCGGAGGATGTTGGAGGCTCTCTCGCGGGCCCTGCGCCAGTCGACGACGATGCAGAGCCACACGGCCGGGAAACAAAACCAGACCTGGGGTTTAGGGTTTAGGGTTTAGGGTTCCCACGGCCAGGAAACAAAACCAGACCTAGGGCTTAGGGTTTATATAGGGCTTAGGGTTTATGTAGGGTTTAGGGTTTATACAGGGTTTAGGGTTGATATAGGGTTTAGGGTTTATATAGGGTTTAGGGTTTATATAGGGTTTAGGGTTTATATAGGGTTTAGGGTTGATATAGGGTTTAGGGTTTATATACGGTTATTAAGGGGAGTAAGATCGTCTGAGACCGGAAACAGAAGGTATGAAATCTCCCAAAGATCTGCCGAGAAGCAATGAACTTCGTTGCTAAAGGGAGGGGATTCCATTTGCTGACTGGGGGAACCGAGAACAGGCCAACTTGTTGCTGCACAGCGATGGCAACGATGGGAGGCAGCGCAACAACTGCTGTGTTGAGGATCAGTAGCCAAAGCACCCTGAAAAAGATGTCAATGGTCTGAAGTGTGAAGCATCCTTGACCGGAGGCGTTACAGCAGCTGGACAGCATGAAACAGAACACCACGGTGATGAGCATGCAGGCAAGAGCAAGCCAGGCAAGCCAATGTATATGCAAAGAGGCTGTGACAGCTATGTCCGCGAGCCAGGCTGGAAGAGACCATGGGTGCGGCAAGAAGGCTGAACTCAAATAGGCGAACTGATGCTCGCACTCCTGGTACCACTGATGCTCCACTGTACGCCTCAGGCAGCCAGCATGCTCATAGTTGAGCTTCGCCGCCGCAAGCATCTCGGCATTCCAGCCGTATTCGTTCACGGTCGTAAGCGGCGCCCCCATCCTTATCTCAACCAAACATAAACCCTAAACCCTTACTAATAAGTATGTGGCAAGAAGGAGATACCCATAAGCAACCTGTCCGCTGGTCTTGGGCACCAGATCGCCGGAAGTGCACGGGATAATGCCACCATGCAAGCCTGTAATACGCACCTTCATAGCCAGAACGGAAGCAACACCGATATCAACGTAGCATCATCCCGGTCATCACATTTCGCAGTGTCGAAAAACAACAAGAAACTAAAGGATAACCCGAAACGAAAGAGGCATCGGGCACCAAGCCATCCCAGGAGAAGTGGCGCGAGCTATAGAAGTCGTCGTCATCGTACACGTAATATAGAGTGCAATCAATCTCCGGGAGCCGACCAGACGGCGATTCAACAGCTTCGGTCGCACCAAACCGATCTATGACTTCCTAAAGTTTAAAGCCTCAACCCTAAACTGCCCTAAACCCTAAACCCTCAACCTTAAAGCAGCCTATGACCATGACAAGAGCAAAGCATCATTGTGTAGAGCCGAACCAGCTCCGGGAAATTGATCACGGCTGCATCGTGGTCACTGCCATCCTCCCAGGAAACGAGAAGACGCCAGGGTTCGGCTCATGGTTGGGGGTTTAGGGGTTGGGGGTTCGGGGTTTAGGCTTTAACTGTTTCGGGTTTAGGCGGTGTGTACTGTGTATACTACGCTGGTAACTTCTGGCGAAAATGCTTTTGCATACACATACATGTATGAATAGAAATGTGGGTTTCGTTGTTTTGTAGCAGAGACCCAGAAACTCAACAAAACGCACAAACGTAACACTGAACAGCCTGGTACAGGATTTCTTGGGGCTTAGAAGGACGCAAGGCGTCGCGACGCCAGCGACCCGCAAAGGTGCACGGCGCACGGGGCTTTCACACGCCAAAGGCTCCAAGCCGGAAGTCGGAAGCTGCTTTCAACTTCGTTGAACCTGAACCCTAAACCCTAGACTCTAAACCTTAAGCCATAAACTCTAAAACTCTAAACCCTAAACCCTAAATTCTAAATTCTAAACCCTAAACCTGAAAGCCTGAACCAGACACACGAAAATGGCTAAAATCCTAAACCCTAGAGCCTGAGCACGCCAAACGACACGAGCCCCCCACATCTCCAGTAGCTCGTCAATCCGATGTGTTGCTTAGCTTGGGGTTTAGGGTTTGGGGCTTCAGGTTTAAAGGTTTAGGGGTTTAGGGTCAAGGGTTTAGGGTTTGGGGTTTGGGGTTGAGGGCTTTTGGGTTTAGGGTTTTGCGTCCTCTGCGGCGAGCATGAGCACGGTTTTCTGATTGAAGAGGCCAGTAAGTGTGAATGAGTCGGGGGCCTGTGCCCCAATCCACACAACTCCATCCATGTTCTCAGTCTGGTGAAGCTTGCAGAGAAGGGGGGGGTCAGTTCGGGGCTCGGTTCCGGGTTTAGGGTTTGGGGTTTAGGGTTTAGGGCTTAGGAGGGTTTAGGGCTTGGGGTTTAGGGTTTAGGGCTTGGGGTTTAGGGTTCAGGGCACACAAAAACCAAAAACAAAAGGCCTACATCACATGCGACAGTGAATGGAAAGCCCATGAAAGCTCTCAACCTTTGACTGCCTTTCATGTGATTCTCGTCACGACTGACAGTTACTGTCAGTAAAATTGAATTTCCTTGCAAAACCCGAAACTCTTGAATACCGAACGCCAGCGCCCTAAACCCTAAGCCCTAAACCCTCAAACCAAGGCCCTGAACCATACTATCCAAGCAGCATTGCCCCCACAGGCAGGACTTTGGCGCAACTCGACAATTCGATGCCAGCTGAGGTGGACCGCATCCCGCACCAAATCGTGCAAAACCGTCCTGGCGGGGGCAAGGAAAGCGGAGGGGGCATCTGGCATAGAGGGCTTGCTTGGTTGAACAGGGCTCTGGCCGTAGAGTGAAGCATACATGTATCGAGGAACCGATGTTCCCGATCATTCGGGGTCCTATATTTACCGTTCAAGGCTGAAACAGGGCTAAGGCCCAATGCCTGGCTTGCTGAGCTCCAGAGAGCCCGAAACCCGTAAACTTTACCCTATGCTTCTAGGGACCCAACCCTAAACCCTAAACCCAAAACGAACCCTGACCCCTAAAGCCCCTCAGCCCGGACGGCTGCACGTCCCGGATTCTCAAAGAAACTGCAAGTGCGACAAGTAAACCCGAATTCCCTCCACCCCAAACCCTGATTGCCCAAACCCTAAACCCTAAACCCCTACCCTGAAACCTTGAACCCAAAAGCCATAAAGCCGACAACCTTGATTCCCTAAACCCTGAAACCCCTGAGCTCGAACTCCCGAGAACCGTGTAAGGTTTTTTGGGGCTAGGGTTTAGGGCTTAGGGTTTAGGGTTGTTACGGCTTAGGGTTCAGGGTTTAGGGTTTTTTGGGCTTTGGGTTTAAGGTTTAGGGCTTTTAGGGCTTCGGGTTTCAGGTTTATTCCGAAGCCTTGCGAAGGCATCTCGAACCATGCTTCTGTAGCCATTGTCTGGGGGGACCACATGACAGACCTCAAGGAGTTAGTAGGTTAAGCTTCAGGAGTCAGGGTTCGGAGGGTAGGGTGCGGGTGAAGCGTGAGGGGCTGTAAGGTTTGGCTCCATATTATGGGCTCTTGGTTCTTACGCGGGTTAGATTTGATCCTGTGAAAATCCCGTAGGGTTCTTAGGGGCTAGCGGCTCCGGTACCTTAACTCCGAATACCTTTTGACACATATGAGGAAATCAAAACGAGGAGCACGAAAAAAGGCAGGTTTCATAGGGACCCTAAGCCCTAAACCCTGAATCCTAAACAGAACCCCAAACCCCAAGCCCTAAACCCTAAGCTTAGGGAGGGTTTAATGTAGGGGCCCTTACACCTCCTAGGGGCGCAGACGTCAGGAGCTCCTGAAAACACCACCCAAATAAGGACCCCTAAACGTTCGGATGCGGACAGCATAGGTTTCCCCAACAAGCGATAATGGCGCCAAAGTTTCAAAACCCTAAACCTTAAACTCAGAAAAACACACACACACACACACAGAGAGAGGCAATTGTTGAGTGTATCCCTTGGAGCACACGAAACCCCGAACCCACAACTTCACATACTCCCTGGGAAGGTAAGCAAAGACTATACTTGGATCCTTGGAAAAAAAAACCGAATATAGGATCTTTAATGATGGGAATAGGATTTTGGGGTATATCATACTATAATTACAATAAGGAACCCCCAAAACAGTATAGGCAACTATTCCGGCCCGTATAGTACACCAAAAAAGTCTGACAAAAGCCAGCAAGGGACCAGGTCACTGCTGCCCCAGAGGAAGCCACTCCTGGGCTATCCAGAGCATCCAATCTACCACTTCATTAAGGCATTTTCCATGAATCATAACAAAGAAAATCGATGTAATTGAAGGGCAACTCCCCTAATGACATGAGGCGTCTTGTACTACTTTCAGGCATCTTCCCTGATTGAGGGGTTGCAGAGCTTTGTAGCCGCTGGGGGACTTTAAGGCATGGATTTCTGGGGGTTTGGCTTCTTAGGGTTTGACTTTAGGCTTTGAGGCATCAGGTTTGTTTTGGGACTTGCGGCTGCAAGGTTTTAGCGTAGTTTCGAAAGCTTGTGGGTTTTGCTTGAAGGACTGGGTTTACCTTGCCCCAAACCCCGGTAGAACCCTTTTTGAGTGGTAGGTTCTTGGATGACAGGTAGGGTTTAGAATTCAGGGCTCTTTGTGGTCGAGCTGGTGGCTTTGCAGTTGAAGGGCGGTTGGGCTAAAAGTTGATAAAGGGGCCTCGTAACGTGAGGGGCTTCATGATCGGAATACGACTTCTGCGTCTAGCGTTTTATCGCGAAGTTCTCAGAAGGCTGCAAGGGTATCGTTTATACGGAATACTGCCACTATAGACTATAGGGGCCTTAATAATTAGAATCGGGTTCTGGGGCCCATTACACTAGGGCAAGATACTCCAACCAAGGAAACCCCCAAAAATAGCATAGGTAAAGATTGAGGCCCCCCATATTGCTGATCCTTTGCTCTGACTCCGGCCCGCTGCTTGATCAGAGTCTACCCATAGGCCCTAAAGTAGTTCCTTTTTGGGGTTCATCTATGGAATCCTATAAGGTAACCCCGAAAAGGAACTACTATGGGGCCTATGGCTAAGGCGAGGGCTGAGGTGTTGGGGCCTTCGCCCTCCCTTGAAAGGGCCCTAGGGTTCGGGTTTAGGGCTTAGGGCTTGTTTAGGGTTTCGGGTTTAGGGTTTAAGTTTAGGGTTTAGGGTTTAGGGTTTCGGGTTTAGGGTTTAGGGTTTAGGGTTTAGGGTTTAGGGTTTAGGGTTTAGGGTTGAGGGTTAGGCCTACAAGAAGTCCGTCTAGACTTTAACCAGGAACGACTAACCCCTCAACCCACACAGCCGAACGAATGGTCGACACTGAAAAGATTTACAGAAACTCTTGCATAAGCCGGTACCAGCTTAAAAAAGGGATTAGAACACGAAGACCTAAAGAATGTTACTTAGCCGTACTTCGTCTATCCCAGCCGGCAAAGTCTTCTGTAGGCGGGCCCGGTCACTCAAGCAGAAGCCGAATGATTTGGATGCGATCTTCCAGGTCTCCCCCGTGTTGCTGCGCATGCTCGGCATTCCTGTTTAGAACTTACCCTGAACCCTAAGCCCTGAACCGAAAACCCTAATCCCTAAATACTAAAGCTTAAACCCTGAAACTAGGCCCTAAACTTCCCTAAACCCTGCCTGCACGGGTTTAGCATGTAGGAAGGCAGGATCTATGGGTTTGGGTTTGAGGGCGCATGGTCTGCCTGGCATTCCGGGTATATTTAGGATTAACTTAGGGTTTAGGGTTTGGCGTTTAGGACTTCCGGGGCAAGCAAGATTTGGTGCTCTTTTCAGCTTAGGATTTAAGGCTTCGGCATAAGTGGACGGCACCCCTACAATCCATTCTAAGGTCGCATGCGTGGTTTAATTCTTCCCTTTCGGGATCCTCTGCAAAGAAAGCACGAAGCTAACAGTTTCAGAAGGAACCTAAGGGTTAACCCTTGAGAATGTTGTGTAACATAGGGATCCTCCTGCCCCAAAAGCAAAGGCTGAAAGCTTGCTTACTCTACTGCCAAGTAAGTCAGTGCCTAAACCCTAAACCCTAACCGCTGAAACCGAAGAAACCCGAACTGGCCCCAGCAAACGCTAAACCTGAACCGCAAAAACTCTAGGGTATAGGGTTTAGGGCTTAGGGAACCCGAACTCTGAACCCAAAGGAGCCCTGTAGTGGAAGCCATAAAGCTGGAACCTTATAACCCTTATGCCCTTAAGGTAAAGTCTAAGGTCATCCCAAAGCCCATGTTCCAACTTTCTGGGGTTCACGATAAAGCCTCTGTAGGGCTCTTTTACGGATTCTACAGGGCAACTCTAAGCGAAGAAACCCTAAACCCAAAGGAGCCCTAACTCAAAGAAGCCCTAAACTTAAACATGATACAGGAGCCTTAATAATCAGAACAGAGTTTTGGGATCCGTTATAGTAGAGATATAATAAGGAACCCTAAGGAATAATGTTGGTCAATTATTTAGGCTTCTATATTACACCCTCAACCCTACACCCTAAACCCCTAAACCCTGGACCCTATAAACCCGAGACCCTGAACCCTGTAAACATAACCCAGGCCAAGGCGCCACTCCAGAAAGTTCATGAGGATCCGCTCGTTGGCATGTCGCGTCATGTGCAAAGCCAGCTCGAGGATGGTCAAGGAGAGCTTCTCCTTTTTTGCGGAGTGTTCCTTTGTTTGAGCCTTGTTTTGGAGGGGGGCGTTTGAGGTTTAGTTTCGGGTTGAGGTTTTAGGGACAGGGGACGCAAGTTGGGTTTGAAGGATTTTGGGTTTGGGGCTTAGGGGGTGTAGGATTTGGGGCTTAAGGCTTGTACAGGGTTCGGGGTTAGGGCCTGTGGAGGGTTTAGGGTGTAGGATCCTGGGTTAGGGTTGGCCAGGACAGGTTCAGGATTCCGGCCCCGAGGAACTGAACCATGGGGTTCAAGGGCTGAGGGGTTTAGGGATTTAGGGTTAAGGAAGGGTTTAGGGTTTAGGGTTTAGACAAAGCCCACAAAGAATAAAAGCCTGCAGGCACAACGGCCAAAGCTCCATCTTGCGCGACTGAAGATGCCGGTCATAAAAGGGCTCTTCGTACACCACGCGGTGACGTGCCATGTAGTCCAAGTCACTGCAGGACATCTCAGCGTAAGCTCGGTCGCATGAGCTTAAGTTCACGTTGTGCAAGTACGCATCGCCAAGGTCACAAGCGGAAAGACCCACAAGAAGATGTCGCAGCGCCTGGGCCATCCATAGTTTAGGGTACCTTAAGTAAGCCCGTCGAATCAACCCCCAAAACCCAAACCAAAAACGCCTGAACCCCTCAAGCCCGCGATCCCCGAAACTCCTATAAAATTACTATAAAGGCCTAAAGCCCTGAAACTCCCTAATCCTCCAACCCGAGAGCCCTGAATCCTAAAACCCTTAAAAACCTCAGTGCAGCATAGTGTCCGGAGCATTGCCAGCCACAATGAGTTTCTTCCTAAGTTTCTCCCAGTATCCCCTCGAAAAGGGCTTGTGGGGTTCAAAGTTTAGGGTTGAGGGTTCAGGGCTTAGGTTTCGGATTTAAGACTGTGCTGACTCGACTAATCTGGGCTTGAAAAAAGTATAGACTTTTATTTCATAATGGTTCCTTTAAGGAACCGGTCCCAAAAAAAGTATTCAAGTATGGTACTCCAAAGCCCAGAATTGCTAGGGAAAGGTTTCTCCTGTCGGAACCCCAGCTTCATCCTGCCCAGCACCTGGTCGAGCGCGGCCGTGTCCCGGTGATGCTTGCACTCTGTGTGGCCACCTACTTGAATTCTCGGGGCTGTGGGACTTAGGGTTTAGGGCTTTGGGGTTTAGGGTTTAGGGTTTAGGGATTTAGGGCTAGGATTTGGGTTGAACCTTGAAACCAACGGGAAACCCCTACAAAACCCCAAAGCCCTGGACTCCACGCCCGCACAAACTCGATAGAACCTGGATGGAGCCCTAAACCCTAAACCCTAGTACCCTAAACCCTGAACCTTAAACCCTAGAACCTGAACCCTAAACCCTAAATCCGAAACCCTGAACCCCATACACTAAACCCCGATATACCTGTCTGCGTGTTTTGTTTCAAAACCCGTGGCCAAAACTCGTGGCTTTTGATCAAACCTCGTAGCTTTTGATCACAACTCATGGCTTTTGGTCATGGATTTTGATCATAACTCGTGGCTTTGATCAAAACTCGTGGCTGCTGATCAATACTCGTGGCTGTTGATCAAAACTCGTGGCTTTTTGATACTTGTGGCCTTTAGGGTTCAGGGTTTAGGGCTCTGGGCTGCCCTTTAAGGTTCAGGGTTTACGGCTCTTTGCTGGCCTTCAGGGGTCATCCGGACTTGTGTGGTCGGTCCACGGGCAACGAGGGTTTAGGGCTCCTTGCTGGCCTTTAGGGTTCAGGGTTTAGGGCGCTGGGTTGGACTTTAGCGTTCAGGATTTAGATCCCCCATGTTCTGTTGGCCAGCCCTTGGTCCGTTACTTTGCGCAAGTGCGGCCAAGCCCCCAGCCCTCTAACCCAAAACCCTAAACCCTAAACCCTAAACCCTAAACCCTAAACCCTTAGGGTTTAGTTAGGATTAGGGGGACCCTTGGGGCTATAGACCCTCTCAGTAAGGTCCCGTTTAAGAGGCCCAGAAGTAAGGTTAAGAAGGGTCCCCTGTAAGGGGTCTCCCTAACACTACGTAGCAATTATGCCTTAAAGTATACCGGCATCCTTTCCTATGAGTTAAGGTCGAGTATATTATATACCTCTTTTGTTGATACACACCTCTAAGACTACGGGCAACCTTCTTTGATTCAATTTTAAGGTCTACTGCTTACTTGAAGACGCTGAGTCCGAACCCCAAGCAGAAATCCGTCCCAGCGCACCTCCCGGCTTCGGTGCTTCCACCTCGGGCTCCTTCGCCTGGCAGCAACTCCCAGAGCTGCAGGGTTTCGGGTTTACCTTAAGAACCCAAAACC